CCTCGTGTTTCCGCTTTAGCGGGGTGTGACACACCAGTCCTTCGCTCCCAAGCGAAGCTGGTTCAGCGCGAACCGTACTCTCAGATGCTCTGGACAAGAACAGGTGTAGAAGCATCCCTCAATGTCAGAGATCCACCTCATTGTGGCTATCGGATCCTGAGTCTCATCAAACTCTGGTGGCTTCGTGTTGCTGAACTCTCGGTACAGCAACGAGTCACCCCCCTGTGGCCTGGCAGCGGCGATGGCTGCGGTGGCTGCAGCAACAACAACCTCGGTAAGAGAAGCATACCGCTCGTCAAACGTCTCAATCAAAGTGGTCTTGATAGACCCAAACATCTCAGGAATCTCAGCTCATATGGCTCCGGACACCTCCTCGTGAATCAGCTTACGAATCTCCTCATCGCTGGTACCACTGGTACCACTGCCTCCTGGGTTGTGGCGCGTCCTAACCATGATGTCTCTGAAATACAACACAAAAGAAATCAGAGATTCGCTCGAGGATACTCGCACTCGATACTCAACCCTACTTGTTCTTTAGTACCCTAAGGATTCTTACTTGGACTGCTCACCGATCCGATTTTTCCAGTAGTACGGGCCCTATACTACCTTCCGCAACGCATCGGTATTCACCCCAAGTCCTCCTCCTAGGATCCCAGATCACAAGTACTCTATATCTCACTAAACTCAGGCTACTCTCCAGTAGACCACTCATAAGCTCCTCGCTGCTACCTACTCACTCTCGAAGCATCTCATAGTAGCAGTAACTCCTAGGCTAAGGCATCACAAATCAGGCCCACTCTATTCCTAAGCATGAATACCTAGCCTACTCTAGCATGCATAGCATATCACATAATATCTCATAACACATAATGTAAGGGTATTTTGGGAAATCACCGTTCGGGCGCTGGCTGATCGTACACACTGCTCCGTTCTGCTTTTCTCAAGAATCTTTTGCTCTTTTAGAAAAATTGTTTCTTTTATGAAAATTTTTCTCAAATCCTCAGTTTGAGTTCAGATACGCCCGAAGGTGCATCCGAATCCCTCAAACCAAGGCTCTAATACCAACTTGTAACAACGTAAATTTTAAAACAATTTTTCATTTTTCAAACATAAATAAACTCATATAATATTCTCGAAATCTCATGTATCAAATGTCATCGCAATAAAACATATCCCAGAATCTCAAAACATAATCCCCTGCCAGTGTGTACAGATCATGCCGGCGCCTTCCCGCGATCCTCGCTGGTACCTGAAACACATATCACATAACACGGTAAGCATAAATGCTTAGTGAGTTCCCCAAAATACCACATACAGCACATAAGCCACTCGAGGCTATAACTCGGTATGACCTTCCGGTCAATGTGTCTCAGCGGGACCCTCCAGTCCCGTAGCTCGTTGGACCCTCCAGTCCGGTCTAGCTCGCTGGACCCTCTGGTCCGGTCTATATAACACATAGCATACATATATCACAATGCACATAAACTCAAACATACACATAACTAATAAGACCCTCCAGTCTGCACATAGATACCACTCTAGGTAATGTATAGTGAGAAGACTCACCTCGGGTAACTCGGATAAACTCGAACTCGAAATACTGATCTAGCCTCCGCCTAATCACACAAAATAATTATCTCTAATTAATACGGCTCTCAAAGGCTAGATTAGTCCCTCCCTATATTCTCTCAGAAGGGTAAAAGACCATTTTACCCCTCAATGGCCCAAAGGTCCAAATGTTGGCTAAACCCTAAAAGTCAACGAAAGTCAACCCTGCGGAGTACGCGGCGCGTACCAGCTCTGTACGCTAGGCGTACTCGAAGGCTTCATAGAATCAGGGAGCTCGACCCCCTACGCTGCGCGTACTGGGATTACGCCCAGCGTAAGTCCCAGTTTCACACTCCTCGTGATTTTGGTCTTAAATGGTTAAGACATAAGCTCATATTTCAGATCTGGCCATTCTAATACCTCTTAATCCATAAAGTCGAAACCTTTAAGCCTTTGCATGGCTGTAAAGGTCACTAATCACTCTAAACACCTTTCCTCTTTCCTCATTAAGCCCTTATCTCATGCATGACTTAATCTTCACGTCCAAGATTGGATTTTTATGGATCTATGACACAATATACACTGAAATGGGGCATATCTAGGCTTATGGAGACCACTTACTCATAAAGTCTCCACCTTTGGGACAAAAACCCTAGAAATGGTCCATAAAGCACAAATCCAAAAAGACTAGGAAAGCTTTGAGCTTTTTACCTCCAAGTGGTGCTCCAACCTCTATAGAGCTCAGATCCAAAGCTTGCACTCCAACTCTAGCTTCCACAATGGCCTTCTCTTTTTCTTCACAAGCACACAATGATACTTTTAAGCCCAAAACACACTCACAAGCTTAGAACGAAGGTTTGGCTCTCTTAGGGTTTCACTCTCTGGAAATGGTGGCTGGGATGGAGGCCATAGCATCCCTTTTATAGTGCTCATGTCTCATTTAGGGTTTTGAGTCTGGGCCCAGTACGCTTAGCGTAAACTAAGGTACGCCCCACGTACTGGGTTGATTCCGCGTCACAGGCTTGCCCTTGGGTACGCGCATCGTACTCTTAAGTACGCCCAGCGTACCCACTTATCACCATTTTCTATTTTGGCCAATTTGGACAACTTGGAAAAGAAGAAGGATTAAAGAGATATACCTGCATTTCGGGTTGTTACATCTCGGTTATCCGGCCCATTTTCGTGGCTATCGGTGCCTTGATCTCTCCACGGGCAAGATCATTTTATCCCGTCATGTAACATTCGATGAAACCTCTTTTCCCCTCACAAATAAATCCATATCCACACCCACAGACTACTCTTTCCTCGAGTCTACCCCATCTCCCACCTTATTTGATCCTACACCTAACATCCCCACCTCATCTATACCGTCTGTCACACCACTCACCACCTCCATACCACCACCACCACCACCACCCCCTCCCCCTCCGCCACTCATCCATACCTACCACCGCCGAAACACGCACACACCTCCTGCTCCCTCTTCAAACACTGTAAGAAACCCACTTCCTGCCCAGCCTATCATCCCCTCGCCTACACCACTCTCCAATAATGCCCCAACCTCTATAACAACCCCCCACCCCCACCCCCACCTACCAACACCCATCCCATGACAACCCGCTCCCGGTCTGGTTCACTAAAACCACAGGAACCCATTAATCTCCACACTTCCACACCTCATACCATCTCACCCGTACCCACTTCTCACCTAAAGGCCCTATCTGATCCTCACTGGTGTAACGCCATGAACGAAGAATATCGAGCCTTAATGGACAACCACACGTGGGACTTGGTACCTCGGCCTTCCAATGCTAATATTATTCGGTGTCTCTGGCTATTTAGACATAAATTCAATGCCAATGGCACTCTACAAAGGTATAAAGCTCGGTTAGTTGTTAATGGAAAATGTCAACAACTTGGTATTAATTGTGAAGAGACTTTGAGTCCTGTGGTTAAACCGACCACAATCAAAACAGTGCTCAATCTTGCAGTTTCCCGGAGTTGGCCAATACACCAACTCGACGTCAAAAAGGCATTTCTTCACGGGGACTTACACGAGACTGTTTACATGTATCAACCCATGGGGTTCACAGATTCCACTTATCCTAATCATGTTTGCAGGTTACGAAAATCATTGTATGGCCTTAAACAGGCTCCTCGCGCTTGGTACGATAGATTTGCCACCTATATCACTAAGTGTGGCTTCCGGAGCACCGTTAGTGACACTTCTCTCTTTGTCTATAAACAAGGAAATGAAATGGCCTACTTACTGTTGTACGTTGACGACATCATCCTCACCGCTTCTTCTGAACAGCTTCTCACCAAGATCATTGCCACACTTTCTCGTGAGTTTGCTATGTCTGATTTGGGGGCTCTTCACCACTTTCTTGGGATCCATGTCAAACGCCAAAATGGCGGGTTGTTCCTGTCTCCAGAAACATACGCCGCTGACATTCTGTCCCGCGCTCACATGGCTAATTGCAAACCAAGTGCCACACCAGTTGATACATCGCCAAAATTGAGCGCATCCAGTGGTGAACTACTAGCTGATGGAACATTATATCGCAAACTTGCGGGTGCCTTACAGTATCTCACTATTACTAGACCTGATCTCACGTATGCGGTACAACAAATATGTCTATTTATGCATGCCCCGCGGGAACCCCACTTCAAATTCCTAAAACGAGTTCTTCGATATCTTAAGGGCACTATTCAGCTTGGTCTTCATATCTCTCCCTCCAAATCGAGTCAACTTATCGCATACTCTGATGCCGATTGGGGGGGGGGGTGCTCGGATTCCCGACGATCTACTTCGGTTTATTGTGTCTTTCTTGGAGAAAATTTGATATCTTGGTCGTCGAAAAGACAACATACTATATCACGATCAAGCGCCGAAGCTGAATATCGTGGGGTCGCGAATGCTGTTGCTGAAACGAGTTGGCTACACAACTTGCTTATGGAATTATTTATCCCAACTCGTAAAGCAACCATTGTTTATTGTGACAACATATCCGCAATCTATTTGACTGAAAATCCCGTGCAACACCAACGTACAAAGCATGTGGAACTCGATATCCATTTTGTAAGAGAAAAAGTTCTCATTGGTGATATTAGAGTTCTTCACATCCCAACAGATTTTTAGTATGCAGACATCTTCACAAAAGGGCTACCGCGTCAACTATTTACTCGTTTTCGATCCAGTCTGTGCCTCCGGTCTCATCCCGCTCAGACTGAGGGGGTGTATTAGCTGTATGTTTCTAGGGTATTTAATATTTTACCTAGTCAAAATATTGCTCCAAAATTAGAAGATTGTAATTCCCGATTTTATGGCTATCTCCCTGTATATGTATGATTCGGTGTGGAATGAAATCAGAGGAGAATTCAATTACGTTCATAGAGTGCCCACATCTATTTTGTAAAAATGCTGGAATTCTTTTATTTATCTTGTGAAGCTAGTTAAGAAATAAAATGACATACCTGTCTGACTTGTCAAAACCAAATCTAGCACCAAAATAATACGCGACAGAAAGTAGCCATGCGTCACTATGGACAGCAACCAGAGACAACCAATCATTTTCTGGCATTCCATCACGTGAAAAATTGATACCTAATGCAGGTTCAGGGAGATTTGGAGGGACCTCTTCTGCTGGTAGGATAACCTCCCATTGTTCACTGGGGAATCCATATAGACATAGGTTTTCCTTTTCTGAAATATAAACGAATATAAATTATCAAAATACAACTTTCTTTACAGTTTAAAAAGACTGATAAATATCAATTATATCAAAGGTACATAACATAATTGTACAAACACCTTTACAAAATAGTATAGTAAAGGGAAAACACTTCAAAGGAAAGGAGCATGTTGTCTACAAGAAAACAAAATAGCATCACATTCACAACATTATCTATGCCTTTTTTAAGAATATTAAAGAAAAAACAATCATTCTTTTCTTTTTTACAAATACTATGCAAAATCCCAGAAATCATGATTTGATTGTCACTACCAACATTTTGATGGATGATATTCCCCCACCCAAATCTCTCCTAACTTATAACATTGAAAGATTCTTTACATATGCACAAAATCCATGACCAAAATCAAACCAAACCATTTGATAATACATGCAAAACTAATATATAAATGCACCTTTTAATTTTATACTCCGGTAGTACACAGAGATATACAAAAAGAGTAAGAAAAAAAAACAAAAATATAATCACCGATCTTTACCGATCATGATTTGAAATACCAAAATACGCATTGAATTCTCCAATTTAGAAAGGTATTGTCTACAAAATTATATTTATACCCTACACGAATAGAAAAGGAGAGAAACAACGCAAAACAGAAGCCCTAACAATCAATTGCTAATCTCTTCAAGTAGCAATCATTCCTTCCTATCTTGGAGATGACAATGAGTAGAAAGCCACATGTGTAATGATAGATTATAAAACCATGGAAAGTGTAATGATATATGCGTGGAGTCATGGAAAATGAATGAATCATTTGCATAACTCAAAGAATATAGTCGTTACTGGAAATAGTTGATCCCCTCAACCTCCACCACAAACGAACACACCAAAAGAGAATAAGTGACTACAAGTTATTGGAGATTTGGTGTAACTTAGATTAGTTAAGTTTTCAAGTTACATTGTTGTTTTATGTTCAATAATCAAGCCCAATTAGGCTACAACAGATGTTGGAACTTGATGAAGTTAATCTATAACTTTTGTGTTTGAATTCCACGTTTGTGAGTTGCATAATGAATTACCAATTGCAAAGAGTGAAATCATTCTAATATATACGAAATGAATTGCTGAATATATACAGACTGATCTACAAAGAAATTTATCCGAAACTAAACTCACAAATTACACTGAGAAGAGTTGTACCTGCACGGAATTGGACATCAAAGTGGTAGCTGCAGCGACAGTGAGCGATGGTCTGCGAGGATCTGTAAGGCGGTAAGGAGAAGAAAGCCTAGCGGCAAGCACTGGAGGAGATGAGGTTAGACACGGCATCTGACGGTGGAAGAAGGCGGTGGCGGGGATGGAAGTGGTTGTAGAACGGAGTAGGGAAGAATATAGAGGATCGATAAGCGGAGGAATTGAAGCCATCTTCGGTGGTGTTTGTCGGTGTGTTGTTAGATAACAAGTGCCGATCGATCCCCGACGGAGATTTCACGGAAGCGGTAGGAAAAAACGAAAACTTTGGTGGATTTGATTCCTTGTTGCTAAGGATCCATCCTAGTCTCCCTTCTTTTCGTCACTTCTCACAATAGAGAAACAAGAGGGGAGAGTCGATTTTGAAGATGCAAAAAAGAAGGTAGAAAAGAACAAGACGGGTTTTCAAAATTTTAGGGTTTCGTTTTCCCCCGTTATCTACTCGAGGTGTGTTTCACTAAAATTATAAAGCGACACCTACAAAGGACGCACGTTTAAGATAAAGCGCCCTCCGTGTTTTTCATTTTTTTTTCTTGAGTCACTAATTTAAGGGCACGCAAAAATGCGTGTCCTCTATCCTTCAAATTTTGGAAGGCTGACATTATTTTTAAGGACACACACAAATGCGTATCGTAAATCAGCGAGTGTTATTGTTTGCGCGTCATTAAAGGGTATTTTTCTTGTAGTGATATGGAGATGAAGAGTTCGGGTACAGACTATGGGACCCAGAACTAAAGAAGGTTATTCGAAGCAGAGATGTGGTCTTCTATGAAAACCAATATTACGATTTCAAGGCATCGATTAGCGAGCAACCAGGCTCCAAAGTTTCAGAAATAATATCTGAAAATATAAAAGATGTTTCCACGGAAGAAGAGGATGAAGAAGTCGATGATGCAGATCAAGAAGGTGTTGAGCAGGGGGAGCTTCCACCCCTAGATAATTCAGATCCATTGTCAGAAGTTGAAAATGAAGGAACTCAAGTTAGACGATCTGAACGAGTTCGTGCTCCATCAAGAAGATATCCGACTTCAAACTACATCCTTCTTACCAGTGAGGTGGAGCCAGAGAGCTTTCAAGAAGCTCAATCTCATATTGACAAAGCAAATTGGCAGAAGGCCATGGAAGAAGAATTGAATTCTTTGAAGAAGAATCAAACATATGAGTTGGTGAAACTCCCAAAGGAAAGAAAGCCTTGAAAAACAAGTGGGTTTTCAAGTTGAAGAAAGACGACAAGGGAAATACTATGAAGTATAAGGCGAGACTCGTTGTCAAGGGTTTCCAACAAAAAGAAGGAATCGACTTTGATGAAATTTTTTCACCTGTTGTGAAGATGATGTCTATTCGAGTTGTACTTGGATTAGTAGCCAGTCTAGATCTTGAACTTGAGCAGATGGATGTGAAAACAACCTTTCTCCATGGTGATTTGGATGAAGAAATATACATGGAGCAGCCCGATGGCTTTAAAGTCCCAAAGAAAGAGCATCTCGTCTGCAAATTAAAAAAGAGCCTTTATGGTCTTAAGCAAGCCCCAAGGCAGTGGTACAAGAAGTTTGATTCATTTATGATGAATCATGAGTACAAGAGAACCGTTGCAGACCACTGTGTCTATCTGAAGAAGTTTTCAGATGGGAAATTTGTCATCCTTTTTGCTCTATGTGGATGATATGTTGATAGTGGGTCAAGATGCAACAATGATCAACAACTTGAAGAAGGATTTATCTAAGTTCTTTGATATGAAAGACTTACGCCTAGCACAACAGATACCGGGAATGAAAATTATCCGTGATAGAAAATCAAGAAAATTATTCTTATCACAGGAGGATTATGTTGAACGTGTGATCAAAAGGTTTAACATGGAAAATGCCAAGCTCGTTGGAACACCCTTGGCTAATCACTTCAAGTTGAGTAAGAAAAATTGTCCCTCTTCTGACAAAGAAAAAGAAGAGATGAAAGCAGTCCCCTATTACACAGCCGTAGGAAGTCTTATGTATGCAATGGTGTGTACAAGACCAGATATTGCTCATGTTGTTGGTGTTGTGAGTAGATATCTAGCTAATCCGGGAAAACAACATTGGGAAGCAGTCAAATGGATACTTCGATACCTGAAGGGTAGTTCAAAACTATGTTTATGCTACGGGGGAGCAAAGCTAATCGTGGAAGGTTATACAGATGCCGATATGGCAGGAGAACTTGATAATAGGAAATCTACATCAAGTTACATTTTCACTTTGGCTGGGGGAGCTATCTCGTGGCAATCCAAGTTACAGAAGTGTGTCACACTGTCAACAACAAAAGTCGAGTATATTGCTTCCGTTGAAGCTGGGAAGGAGCTTATATGGATGAAACGGTTTCTTCAAGAATTAGGCTTTTCACAAGAAGAGTACATCATTCATTGCGATAGTCAGAGTGCTATGGATCTGAGTAAGAACTCGATGTACCATTCCCGCACAAAACATATTGATATTCGTTATCACTGGCTTAGAGAAGCAATTGAGGGACGAGAATTGAAGTTGTTAAAGATCAACACCAATAACAATCCTGCAGACATGTTGACAAAGGTGGTGACACAAGAGAAACACAAACTATGTGCTGACATAGTTGGGATTAGGATTGTTGGACGGAGACTGGAGGGGGAGATTTTGTAACATCCCAAAATACGAGCCAAATTTTTTTTTTCATTTTTGAAACATATACTTAGCAAACATTAGAAATAAAACATTCACTGATCATATCATTTCATAAAAATGTCGCGTGTCCGGAAACCATTTTATAAAAACATAATAATGTCAGAGTACAAATCCCAGAATAACTCATGATGCGGAAATCCATGTGTGTGTATGATGTGTCGCTACCGCGCCAACTCTTTCCCCTTCGATGAAGAGGTACCTGAAAACAAAACTATAAACTGTAAGCACAAAGCTTAGTGAGTTCCCCCATCATACCACCTACCATACAGTTACATAACATACATATATTGTCCGGCATATCTGGGTGCCCGACCTACCCCTTCGGTCCTCCCGACCGGATACTGTCTAGCATATCTGGGAGCTGGCCTCCCCTTCGGTCCTCTCGACCGGGTTCTGACTAGCATATCTGGGTGCTGGTCTCCCCTTCGGTCCTCTCGACCGGGTACTGTCTAACATATCTGGGAGCTGGCCTCCCCTTCGGTCCTCTCGACCGGGTACTGACTAGCATATCTGGGTGCTGGTCTCCCCTTCGGTCCTCTCGACCGGGTACTGGGGACTATTTCACCCCCTTACTACTACCACATAACACATTTATCACATAATCTATCTAGCATGGCTGGGCACGACCGCCCCTTCGACCCTATTGGCCGGTAATCTGGGGACTATCTCCCCCTACAGTCACTAGTACATAGCATCATGTCATTTTAGCACATAAACATATCACAGGTAGTAACAACCCTAGATGAATATCACAGAGACAATCATCTATCATGCAACTCCTACTAGTGGGCCGGCATTGTGGCCGTAGACCCACCGCTACTGGAAGGTAACTCACCTCAAAATGGCTGCTAATCTACGTGGGAACTGACTGACTTCTGCTGCTGCTGCTCCGGAAATCCTCCGGCTATAATTCCCACAAAAACACTCAGTCAAATACTGCTAACCGCCCTCAGGGTAAAATGACCATTTACCCCTAACTAAACCAATAGTCAAAATCAAAGTCAACTTCCAGTTGACCCGACTCGCCGAGTTGGCTTGCCAACTCGCCGAGTCCCTATCCACTCGATTGACCATAATCTCATCTCTACTCGTCGAGTTAGGCATTGACTCGACGAGTTCCCTTCTAAACCGATGACCACTAGTCCTTCATCCTACTCGCCGAGTTGTATGAACAACTCGCCGAGTCTGTTCTTGAGGCTCGCCGAGTCAGGGCATTGACTCGCCGAGTTCCTCCATGAGTGAGTCTGGCTTCCGACTCACTGAGTCACCCCCCCATGACTCACGACTCCACTCAGCAACACGAAAAGGGGAAAACTCGAGGACTTGCGACTCGACTCGCCGAGTCCGATGAACGACTCGCCGAGTCGGCCACATACCACTAATATATACTCGATTTTGCTTGGATCCAGCTCATTCCATACGTAGATCTAGGTTCCTAGGGCTTGATTAACACGTAAAGTTTCCAACTTTACGTGTAAATAAACACCAATGAAGGTTTTAGGGCTCAAAATGCACTAAAAGAGTAGATCTAGGGCTTTCATGCAATATGGCTTCATAAAGGCAGTGGATCCGAGCTCCTAGAGCTCAATCATGCCTAGATCTAAAGGTTGATCGGCTTATCACAGACCCTAGTTCATACCCAAGCTTGGAAATGGCTCAAGAAGGACTTTAATGGAGCTCTAAGGGACTATAAGCATGAGAACAGAGGGAAACTGAGTTATACCTCAAGGAAATCTCTGAAATAACACCAAGATGCCTGGCCTCCTTCCTCTCCTCTTGATCTACTCTCCTTTCTCTCTCAAAGTCTTCAAGAAATCACACCAAGCACTTCAATTTCACAAGGAACGATGTTAGAACGATATAGGGGGCTTTGAGGGTGAATGGGGGCGAGCTTGGGGCGCATAAGGTTGGTTTAAATAGGGTGCAAACCTTTGGAATTAGGGTTTCACCAGACAGCGGGGACTCGCCGAGTCCAGAATATGGACTCGCCGAGTCGCCAACTTAAACGTGTTCCATGTCCCGGCTCTACTCGGCGAGTCGGGCCTACAACTCGCCGAGTCCAAGGCTAAAAATGCAAAATACTTAGATAAATTTACATACCAGGAACCAGGTGCTACAGATTTGTTGTGTTCCAGCCTCCAAAGACTACAAAGCTACAGTAGCCATCATTGTTGACAAAATGAAACCTACGGGACAAGTTTTTCTTCCCACCCTATGATGAACACAATTAATGAAGGTTGCACAAATGGTGGCTGCCATGGGTATAAATAGAGGCTTCATCTTCGGTTGAGATGCATCCCAAACATAGAGAAACAGATAGTATAACACTTAGACTGAGAGTGTTAGTGAGAGGGTTGTTTTTTATAATAGTTGAGTGTAAGAGTTGTTCCTCCTATTGTAATTCTATTTTCGTATTTAATATAAGAGTTTTCCAACCCCCAAAAACACCATTTCACCACCTTACCCACCCAAACATCTCCCTTATAA